ACATTATTACTTTGTTAATGATAAATACAAAATAGAAATGTATTGATTGTTGGTTGTATTAATGTTTATTTAACCTGAAAAATGTGTCAACATTAAGCGTAACACACAAATTTACATGAAAAAACCTTGAGGATTTTGCTTCCTCATTTCAGAAACATGACTGCACACCACTGGTCTCTAGCTATGGCTCAGGTCTCTCTGTGTGAGAGATTTTCTCATGTTCATAGCACAAACGGTGCAAATTAACTAACTGTCAGAGTTTAATAGTTAGGCTTAATACTTAAGGATTTCAAGTCACTGACTCTAAGTCCAAGCACTAGTAATACTGCTGCTTCCTTTAGCACTTTTAGCACTTTAGCATTTGTGTCAGTCTTGAGCAGCTTGTTGGATGAAGTTGTGCCCTGACCTGCTCCTCACTGTCAGCACATTGTAATGATGTGATTCAGTGAAGCGCATGGCCTCAGTGTTGTGTCATTTTCAGGGCAGAACAGTCTCTACCAATTTACAGTATGTACTGTTGAAGAATCTGGCTTCACAGTGAGGTGAAAAAAAAATCTAATTTCTGTCTAAACATAAAAGTTCTTCTAACATGTACATATGCATCCATACAGTATTACATGTACTGTATACTGACTTGCACATACATTTGCATGCTATTTACTTATGGTATTTGTTGTTATGATTTCACTCAGTTTTATTAGTTTGATTTATAAGTTTACAAGTTTCTATAGGCCTATGTTAATTTAGTATAGCCTACTCTAAAGTTCCTTAATTGTGCTTACTTCAAGAATTTGTTTCCCAACTTTCCAAATTGAGTCATCTGACCAAAGAATTTTAGTGTGAAATATTCTGCAGTAACTATTAATAAAAATTATACTTTTGTTACATTTTACTTTACATTTTGTATGATATTATTTTGATGTATGGTTTTAATTATAAAGGTAAGTGGTTGCAAACAGTTTATTTTAGCTACATTTAATAAAAAAAATGTGTTGAAAGTTAGGCAAATTTGTTTATTGAAATGTAGCTAAAATAAATTGATTGCAACCAACTTACTTAGTAAATTCAATGAATCATTTTTATTTCAGTGTATTAGTGTATTCATTTTTAGCATTTACTATTTACTTACAGCGGCTAATAAACCAGAAGTCTCACACATTCACAAAAAAATGTTACCAATGTAAACCTATATGCCGGGGTTCACCCCTGGATGCCCTGGTCCAATTCAACCCTCATAATGTCAGGGTCATAGTTCACCCCAAAAGCTATAAAGAAAATACAGTTTGCAATTATTATAATTAAAAAGCATCATGTAAAAACACAAACTGTGACTGATAACTTTACATGACATCCAGACAGTCTCAGTTCTTAACCAGAAAAGGCTTGTTGTGAAAATAAGACTTTATGTAGTTTAGTTTAGTCAAAGTAGTTTGGCTACACGAGAGCAATGAGCTGTAAGTGTTTCTAGCACCCAGACACAAATAAAACAGCACTTCTTTTCTCAGCCTGCCCTGAACACAAGATTGGCGGGCGTGTTAATCGATAGGAAACAGCTTTCAAGTTCAGGGAAGCATCACTGGTGTCATTGTTACAATGGGTTGAAATAACACAGGGCTCTCTGGAGTGCTACTAATTTCACCTGTTTCCTGTTTCCTCTGCCAGTGCCATCACACCCCCGGAGCTTAAATGTCACTGATAATTGGTTCCTTTTACATCACATCAGTAGATAATACACCCATTTCACAAGGGCGGTTTACGAGGTCCTGAAGTAATTAATATATCATAGCTATTTGATGAAGAAGTTCTGGACGTTTAGTCCTGCAATACACAGCTGTCATAGAGACAGTGTTCATCCATTCAGATGGAAAATGCCTAAACGAGAACATGCTTCAAAACAAGTCAGTCTATAGCCAATGCAATGGCTCTCTCTAGTGGACATGGAGTTAAACTCTTTATTATTAATTTTGATTGTTTGTGGTGTCTTCTAAGGTTGAACGTGCCAGGATTCCTTTGTCATTCACATACAGTTATATTTAGCTGTACATTGAAAACTGGTATTTATTATCTGATTATTTGAATGTATTGTCTTAATTATAAACACACTGGTTTGTAGTGTATTCATTTTGTTATTCTTCTAGTTATTTTCTAGCGGCTAATGAGCCAGAAGTCTCGCATATTCACAAAAAATAGCTTACATCTGCGCTGCAAAATCAGGAGAATATCAGAAGGAATTTGCTTTCAGAAGAATCTTGAAGCATTATTTGGCCTTTTAAAACCAATTCCAAACAGATGTATAACCCCTATTCTAGAAAAGTTGGGACATTTTGTGAAATGCCATAAAATTAAGAATATGTTATTTGTCATTCTCTTTAACCTTTGTTTAATTGACTAAAGGATAAAGAAAAAAAATCCATTGTTTTCACTGGCCAACTTAATTTTATTTTGCAAATATAAACAAATTTTGATTTTGATGGAGGCAAGTCACTCTGTCACATTAACTTTCCTTTTAATTACAATGTTCAATTGTTTGGGAATTGAGGATAGTAATTGGTAAAGTTTTGCAAGAAAAATCCTTGTCCAATCTCGCTTGATACAAGATTTCAGATGCTCGGCATATCTATGCCTCCAATATATGCCTGCATGTCAATGGTACTTTCGAACATATCACCCATGCTGTTTGCACTGATGCACCCCCATATCATGACAGATGTTTGCTTTTACATCTGTCTCTGATGAAAATCTGGATGGTCGCTTTGGACTGAGAATTTTATTTGTTTTTTTTTCCAAGAACAAGCTGAAACATGGACCCATCTGACCACAGCACACATTTCCATGCACTGTCTTTTTGACTGTCTGAGAGTAGCTCTCTTGTCATGCATATTCATTTGATGGCAAAGATGCTCCTTTTACCCAAACATGATACCAATTCACCTGCTTACTGAACTGTTTCAAAACAGTTTAATTGGGATATTCTATAACCTTTTCACTTTTATTTTGCCTCTGTCCCAACTTATTTGGAGTGTGTTGCAGTCATCAAAATCAAAATGCTATAGTTATATATAGCTATATATAGGTATATAGTTTATATTTACAAAATACATTAAAGTTGGTCAGTGAAAACTTTTTTGTCAATTAAACAAAAGTTAAAGAGAATAACAAATCACAGATTCTTGATTTTATTGCATTTTACAAAACATTCCAACTTTTCTGTAATTGAGGTTGTAAAATTAATCAAATTAAAATAAAGTTCTTATTCTTTTTTTCACAAGTTAGAAAATAAGAAGAAACAGCAAAAAAAAAAAATAATTCTTAAGAATGTTGGGGCTGGATTCACAAACATCTTCTCGAGAAAGAAGTTAAGAAATTGCTTAAGATAAAAGAGAAGAAAGTTCTCAACTAGCCTATTTTCCTAAAAACTTCAGAATAATCCTGAGGTATTATTTCACATTTAAAAACTAATGCCGCACAGATAAATTAATAATATAAAATGAGTTAACACTAACACTAATATTTGGTCATTTAAATTAATTGTCTTGTATGTTTGTTTGGTTTCCTATGTGGTTGTAAGAGCAGTCAATATGTTTGTTTTGATCATGTGAACTAATAGTTTTCACGCTTAGTTTGATATTTTTAATACTTAAAGCACTTTTACACTTAGTTTGATATTTTTAATATTTAAAGCATGAGGGTCAGAGTCAGAGTATATGTATATAATATCATACACAGTGCATCTGGAAAGTATTCACAGCGCTTCACTTTTTCCACAATTTGTTATGTTACAGCCTTCTTCCTAAATAGATTAAATTCATTATTTTCCAAAAATACCCCATAATGACAACATGAAAGAATTTAGTTTGAAATATTTGCAAATTTATAAAAAAATTAAATAAAATCACATGTGCATAAGTATTCACAGCCTTTGCCATGACACTCAAAATTGAGCTCAGGTGCATTCTGTTTCCACTGATCATCCTTGAGATGTTTCTACAACTTGATTGGAGTCCACCTGGGGTAAATTCAGTTGATTGGACTTGATTTGGAAAGGCACACACCTGTCTATATAAGAACCCACATTTGCATGTCAGAGCACAAAAGTCATGAAGTCCAAGGAATTGTCTGTAGACCGCCGAGACATGTTTGTAGAATTGTGAGGAAAATAATGAATTTAATCCATTTTGGAGTAAGGCTGTAACATAACAAAATGTGGAAAAAGTGAATACTTTCCGAATGCACTGTAAAATGTACTGTTCTGATTTCTATTCAGTTAGAACAAGTAATCATTTTCAGATGTTTATCCAAAGTGATTTACAATGTGACAACAACCTGACGCTATAGAGCTATATACACACACAATGAAATTTTATACTGCATTTTACATACAGCCTATACTCTCGTAAACAACTTAGCATAGTTTGCTAATGTTAAGATTAATTTGCATATAAGCTAATGTTACGTCAGTTCACTCCCTACACGCACACACTTGTTACTGTCATGTACAGCCATAACATATGGAGATATATTGCACTTTTTGTCACCTGCACTCATAGTTTCCGGTTTCCCCTCTGGCATCAAATTACAGTATTTACAGCATGTCAACTCACACAGATAGAGACTAACCAAGAACTAAGAAAGTCTTTCCATCATTTGGTAATTTCTAACCTCAATATACTCTATAATTCAAAATTAAACCAAAAAAGTAACCAGGAAAAGGTTCTGATTCGTTTGTGGATCATGCTGTTCCAGTGAATCCCAAATAAGGGATCGAAAAGGAAAACAGAAAACAAATTCTTTGGAATCTTTAATGTCGATCTTTTCAAGGAAAGACACAAACAGTGCAGACATGCACTCACACAGACACATTCAGCCATTCTTTGGAAACCTTATGCACCAGCATAACTCGTTTTTTTACAAAGTGACATCACAGCTCAGCTGTATTTGAATCTCTCCTCCACACTCCAGTGAACAGAAAAGCAAGTTCTCACCAGCTAAAACACTACGAAATGGCAACTCGGCCGTCTCACTTTGAGCAGAACCTTCTGTGCCCTGTTTGCTGTGACATCTTCAGAGATCCCGTTCTCCTGCTGTGTTCTCATAGCTTTTGCTGGGCCTGTCTGGATCAGTACTGGGAGCTCAGCGGCTCACATATATGCCCTGTATGCCGGACAGACTTCTGCATGGACCGTCCTCCATGCAACCGCGCTTTGAAGAACCTGTGTGAGATCTTCCTGCAGGAGAGAAGCAAGACTGCGTCAGCGGAGCCCGAGTTATTCTGCAGTGTCCATGGAGAGAAACTTCAGCTCTTCTGTGTGGAGGACCAGCATCTCGTGTGCAGCGTGTGTGTGACTGACGACATGCATGTTAAACACACATTCAGACCTGTGGATGAAGCTGCAGTGGCTCTCAAGGTACATTATCCAACTGCTTTTTTAGAAAAATATTACTTTACATTTACTTTTTAGTTTTAAGATATGTTAAGAGCATATCATTTCACTTTAACTTACAGACACTCATAAGAAGTTAGAAATTTCACATATTGATAAAAAAACTGATTTTGTACTAAATTTTTTGTCATTAAGCTTTTTAAGAACAGTGCAAATTCTTTAAAAAAAGTTTGAATTTTGAGTAAGCCCTGAATATTGTAAATAAATTGTATTTCCATGTTTCTTTTCAGGAGGTGCTCAAAACAAGCCTGAAGCGTTTGCAAGAGAAGCACAAACTCTTAAAATTAGAAAAATTCATCTGTAATCAACGAGTGAAACACATCAAGGTAAAATCTGCAGCTGCATGTTCTACAGAAATGAGTAACAATTATGTAACTTTTATCTTTGTAATATGTTACAGAATCAAGCTGAGCAAACAGAGGCACATATTAAGAAGGAGTTTGAGCAGCTTCGTCAGTTTTTGCGTGATGAAGAGACGGCCAGGAAAACCGCTCTGAAGGAGGAAGAGGAGCAGAAGAGGAAGCTGTTAGAGGAGCAGATGATAAGAATTAACAGTGAACTCTCATCTCTGGTAGAAAGAATTAGGATCACAGAGGAAGAGATAGAGACCAACAACATCTCATTCCTGCTGGTACGACCAATTATTTATTATTCTTTCTAACAAGGATCCAAATTTTTTATTTTTATTATATAAATGTAATATATTTGAACATTTATTTATTAGACGTATTTATTTGATTAAAATTCAAATATTAATCATTTAGTTATTTGAACAAAAGCACAATAAAGACAGTATTATAATGAAATATTATTACAATTTAAAATAAATGTTTTCTATTTAAATATGTTATTACATTTGAATTTAATTACATGTACTTTATTCTTGTGATCAAAGCTGAATTTTCAGCATCATTACTCCAGTCGTCAGTGTCACATGATCCTTCAGAAATCACTCTAATGCTAATTTTAATGCTGATTTGTTAGCATTTATCAATTTATAATTATAAACTTTTATGATTATTTGATTGAGATTTGTTTTTAATTACAATGTCTCTTGGTCATTTTCATGTACATCCATCTGAAGAAGTACAAAGGCCCACCTGAAAGGTAAGTGTGATTTTCTCTCTCTTTTTTTTTTTTAAACCCTGTCTGTTTTGATTGGGACCCAAAATCACGTTGAGCACTGACTGAGGATGTTCTTCCAGCTCTCAGTGCACCAGTCCCTGTCCAGAGAAGCTCCCAGAAGTGCTGATCAATGTGGCAAAGCACCTGGGAAATCTGAAGTTCAGCGTATGGCAGAAAATGAAGTCTGCTGCTCAATACAGTGAGTCTCATGAATCAATGGTTCCATGAAGAACCTTTAACATCCATGGAATCTTTCCATTCAACAAAAGGTTTTTCATTGTGGAAAAAGGTTCTTTAGATTTTTAAAACGGCATTCACACTAAGAAAAAAATATTATTTTATGAAAACCAATTTCCACCATGGAATAAAAATAAATAAATAAAATAGGTAATTAAGGCTTTTTTCTCACAATTTTAGGTTTATACCTCAGTTTCTCTGAAATCTAAGTTTGTATCTCATAATATTTTTCTCTCACAATTGCAAGTTTATATCTCACAATTATACTTTGTATCTCACAGTTATATATATAAAAAAGTCCAAATTGTAAGATTTAAACTCGGAATTCTGAGATAATTAAAAAGGTAATATGACTATTTTATCTCGCAATTCTGACATTTTACATCTTAAGCCCCATTCACATCAAGAATTATAACCATAAAGATAACGATATTAGCGTCCACACCAGCGAACGATATCGTCTGTTCATTCCAAGCACACACTTTAAATTCTCGAGGTCGTTACAGCAGGATGAATTCTGATTGGCTGTCAAATTTTTTTTATCATTCATCAGCAGGAAAATAAAAGTCGTTTTTAAAGTGATTCCAACAATATCGTTTCTCTTTGTCTATATATCTCTTTGTCGTTATAGTTGTGGTGTGGACTCACCAAATGTGGAATGGTGTGAATGAGCCTTTACAATTCAATTTTTTGTCACAGAATAATATGGTAGTCTAATTGTGATGTACCCCCCTCTCAGAGCCAGAGTAATTTTTATATTTATGGTATCTCAAAATTCTGATTTTATATCTTGCAGATCTGAATTTACGTCTTCCAATTCTGATAAAAAAAGTCAGAATTGTGAGACAAAGTCACAATTACCTTTTTTTCCATGGCAGTTACCTTTTTTATTTTTATTTTTTCCTGTGGTGGAAACAAGCTTCTATACTTTTAAGAACTGTTCACTGAATGGTTCTTATGAAACAAACAATGATTCTTCTATTGCATCAGTATGAAAACCCCCATTTTGGAACCATAATTTGTGTAAAGTGTAATCTAAAATATATTGTAAACCTATTTAATTTATGTGAAAAGCAAATGCCATGGCATCCTCTTCCATATATATTCAAAATACATTACTGTGAAATCTGCTGTGATAATTTCTTTTTTTTACTTTCACCGACAAGAAGTAAACAGTACACACACACACAATCATAAGATAGCACTCAGGAGATTATGTTAATTATGTGATGTAGGATTTTCCCTTTAGTTGTCCAGTGCAGTTTGATGTTGTCTTGTTATTTTTTGGCATTTAGATATTATTATTTCAGATATTTATGCTTGTTTTTTTTTGTTTGTTTGTTTTTTTGGTAGCGTGACAAACAATCCTGCTGTGAATTGTAACATATGATCTATGCCTGTAATTATGAAGACCCTTCCCACCAAAAACACTCAACACATTGCATAGCTCTGTGTCAAAGAGTACACTCTCTTGGTTTTTTCTTCTGTTTTCTTCTGTATTTATTAATACAGAATTAATGTTTTTTTTAGTGCTTTCTGCTGTGGTTATGAAGCCTTGAAAAATAAATTGATCTATTGTCTAATCTATTTTGAAATGCTTGCCAGCTAATACAAGATTTATTGTCTGTGAGATCAGGGAAACTGTAACAATGTTATGAAACACATACACACACACACACACACACAAAGTATGATAAACTGGAAAATTGGATGATTAAAACATATAGTATTATATAAGTATAAAAATATACTGTTAAGTATCTGATTAATGGGACTCAATGTCTTTAGTTTTGTGACTCATCAGCTGATTGATATATGTTCATTGCAAAAGAATTGAATGCATTTCCAATAGTAATGTAGATCAAAATTAGTACTTTACTTTAAAGACATATTAGAAATAAATAATACAAAGAAAATAGAAAAGAAAAGCTGTTTAGCGATATTAATAAGTGTTTAGCAGTTAAGCAAGTTTTAAGCAATAATATTGTTTGGGATTTCAATTTAAATGATCAATTATTCGAAGTGTGTTAATAGCTTAAAGTTTGCCATATGAAATAGTAGTACTTTTTTTTAATATATATATATTTAAAAAAATAGGTTTGCATATGTGGTTTGTTGAGTATCATATTTTATACATCAGGCTTTAATGCCTCATATATGATATAGGAGAATATGGAGATCATACTAAAGGAAAAACACCTCAGTTTTATTCAGAGGCTCAAACTGAGAAATTTGGTGCAGAAGCTGATATTTATATGGACAAAACAAAAAAGATGACGTTTTGATAGCCTGAAATGTAAATCAACAAAATCTAATAACAGTATAACAGACTACTGACATAAAATGATATAAATATCAGTCATCACACTCATCTCCAATAATACTGTATGTCTCAGTAAGATGCGAATGAAATGCTTAGTTTATTATCAAAGCTACAGTGGGGCAAAAAAGTATTTAGTCAGCCACCAATTGTGCAAGTTCTCCCACTTAAAAAGATGAGAGAGGCCTGTAATTTTCATCATAGGTATACCTCAACTATGAGAGACAAAATGAGGAAAAAAAATCCAGAAAATCACATTGTAGGATTTTTAAAGAATTAATTGGTAAAGTCCTCGGTAAAATAAGTATTTGGTCACCTACAAACAAGCAAGATTTCTGGCTCTCACAGACCTGTAACTTCTTCTTTAAGAGGCTCCTCTGTCCTCGTTTGTGTGTTATTAACCTGAAAATAGACATTTTAGAATGACACTAATAGGCCTTTTACTAAAAATTGTATAAACTACAAATCAGATGACAGAAGGAATGTAGATTGTGTGCTGAGGTCTTTCAGCAAAGTTTTTATCATGTTGATCATTTAGATGCTTTAGAAACAGAGTATGTTTTAAAGGGTTAATAGCAATACTATTGACAAATATGAATTATTCTAATAGCAAAAGATGATGGGTAGACCTAGGCTGTGAATTATGAAGGAAAATGCACAAATGTGTTACAATCGCCCCATCAGCTGCTCTAGGAGATGAGACAGTCATCACTTTTAATGGCGAGCACCTTTTCAGTGCCAGATTTGCATGCACTGGATTCTTCTTTTTATCTAAAATACACTGGAGCTTTTTTTATTTGTGTGTGCTTAACTGTTCTTAAGCAATGATTAAACTGTGAAGTCTTCCTCATGGTTTCAGCTATACATATTCAAATCTGCATAGTTCAGGTCACTGATTATTCATTGGCTCTTCTCTAGAAACCACATTCTTTGGCATTCAGCTTCTACATTATGGTGCACTGCACTCAACAATGACAGTAATTAGAGCATGACTCCTGACATGTTATCTCAGCATCTGTGATGGTCTCTAATTGATTTCCTCCTATGAGACGGACAAAAATGTTGTGTAAATGTCAGAGAGGCATTCCTCTGAACTACTGCACACATTTGTAACACTGCTGCCAGCAACAGCGATATTCAAAACAAGCTACTAATGACTGAGTACTGTCATGTGAGGCATTTGAAAAATAGCTGTAAATGTTTGAGCATCATGCAAAACAGGACCTACAGAACAGGTATTGCTGGAATTTCAACTAACACTATAGAAAAACAATAATTTAAAAATCACTTTTATCAATCCTATAACATTCCCAGATGATCACTAGTTTTATATATATATACTGTATATATATATATATGTAATATACCGTATTGGCCCGATTATTATACGACCCTGATTATAAGACGACCCCCTTTTTCCAGATGTACCTTTTGGAAAAAGGCTTTTTAAAAAATAAATCTTGTTTTTTCTGTTACGACCCTATAGTTTTGTTGTGTTTTGTTCTGCTGGTTTGTGTGTCTGCCCAGGTTGCTGCTGATTGGTTCCTGCAGACTCATTGATGTCGTCCTCTGATTGGTCTTCTCTCCCTTAAAAGAGATGACAGCAGTTCCTTCAAGGGGGGGTGTGGTGGCGGTGGCCATTTTGTGAACCATGCTGTTTGTTGGGGCAGTGCTTGTGCTGTCTTACCCCATTTGTATGCTGAGAGAGATTGTCTGGATATTCATTGTTTGTGTAACGGTAATCTGGTTTACCCGACCCTTGCCTGTTGTACGATTTTGATTCTGGATTTTCCCTCTGAACTTGATGTTTCTTTGTAAATATTTATTGTGAATATTGTACATAGTTATTAGGTTAGAGAATTGTATTTTATTTTAGTTTCTTTACTTCAGATTGGTAATTTAGAGGGTTTAATATTAAGAACGTTTTGTTTATTATTTTGGCACCGTCAGCTCCTGAAAGTGAACTCCCAAATAAATATTCAAAAGAACTTGATTGTTCACGCTTGGTCTTTTTTTTTTTTTCTTCATGTTGCGCTCTACCCCTAGACAGGGCGTAACATTTCTCAGTAAAATACATTTTGTCTTCAATTTTCATATTGCATTTTCCTATTTTAATTTTTGTTTTGAAAGTATGGTAAAATGTACCAACAATCACATTTCAAAAATATACACTTTTTGATATACCATTAATAATAATAAAAAAAAAAACGGGTAGCCCATCTGAATAAGGACATTTAGGCTATCCATCTAATAGTAGCCTACCAAAGTCTTATTAACAGTAGAAGTTAAATCTTACTGTAGTCTTCAAATCTGGGTACTGTCTTACGTTTTAAAATCACAAAGGGAGTTTGGTCCCATCAGGCTAACGTGACAGTCACGACTCATGCAGCTGTAAGGTTTTCTGTTTCTTTTGTTTTTACTCGTGATCTTTACAACACGCATTACATATTTCAATGCACACTCGTTTTATGCATATTTGGCACCACCTATTGTTGTGGGTGTATTATTGACATGTCAAAGTCTAGACCCTGAATATAAGACGACCGCGTTTTTTCAGATGTATTGCCAAGAAAAAAACATTCTTATATTCGGGTCAATACGGTATATATATCTATTCCTATAACTTGAAAATAAATCTTCTAAATAAAATGGAATTTAATACAAATATACC